AGTAGAAGGTCGACTTGATACGAGATAACGTGGATTGTCTAGCATAAGATTATTCATAAATGCCAGGATTGGAAAGGGGTTTGATCGAGTATAAATTGCCCATCAAAGCAGGTTTCAGGCCATATAAGCAGCCGCCTCGGCGTATCAATCCCGAATTGATGCCACAAATCAAAGAAGAGATCAAGAAGCTCTTAAAAGTTAGGTTCATTTGGCCGTGTAGGTATGTTGAATGATTGGCAAATATAGTACCCGTAACCAAGAAGAATGGAAATATTCAAATATGAATTGATTTTGCGATCTCAATTTAGCAACCCCTAAGAATGAGTATGGGATGCCTATGATTGACATATTAATTGACTCAGCTCTAGGACACCAGATCTTTACTCTTATGGATGGGTATGCTGATTATAATCAAATCTTTCTGGTAGATGAGGATATTCCCAAAACGGCTTTCAGATGCCCTACGGCATTGGAGATTTATGAGTGGACCGTTATGCTCTTTAGATTAAAAAACGCAGGGACTATCTATCAAAGGGCTATGAACACAAGCTTACCTAATTGGGCATTCCATGGAGGTCTACATTGATGATATCATTGTTAAATAAACTAATTTAAGTACACCTGGCCGAACTCGAGAAGGCGTTCATTCAGATGAAGAAGTAGAACCTCAAGATAAATCCAACTAAATGTGCATTTGGGGTGCCAACAGGTAATTTATTGGGTTTTTTGGTACATGAAAGAGGCATTGAAATTGATAAGAATAAAGCTAAAGTAATTTTGATAATGCAAAACCTGGGACAATCATAAAAATGCAGATTATTTTGGGTAAGGTCAGTTATTTGAGAAGATTTATTATCAATACTGCAGGAAAAATGAAGCCCATTACAAAGTTACTAAAGGCAAAAGCGGCTGATTTTCTTAGGAGCCCGAACAACACGAGGCTTTTGAAACTATAAAACAAGATCTTACAGAATCCCCTATTCTCGAGAACTTGAAGAGTTCTACTTATCTTCATTGAAAGGAATGCCCAAATCGCATGGTGTAATAGTTGAGTTTCACCTCTGGTTGAGAGAATGTATTCTCTTTTATTTTGAGGGATTTTTGTGGGAGGTTAGACCATGTTTTGAGTAGAAAATATGGGAGAATTTTGATCTATTACATTGGGTCTGAACTCTGTCGAAGTTGCTGGATATTTGAAGCCGAAATCACATCCTGAAGGAATCACAACAGTCAGTTGTGTCGAAAAATTACTGAGTCTTTGTTTGGTTCAAAGTGAATTCCAAGGAGGAGGTGATAAGCTGCCTACAATAACATCTCATTTCAGAGCACAACCAACGGAGGTCGAGGTATTGCATCCTTGCCTTTGCGAAGGAAGATGCATTTGTATGTGGTAGGGAAAGTAATACATTTAAGTTGAATTTTTAGGTCGGTTAAGGGCCGAACTGGGTCAACAAACTTCGGTGTGTTGTTTGTTTTGATTTACTACAGTGCACTTCTTGTTACTTGTTTGTTGTTTGAATCTCAAGCAGACAACATCAACACAGCAAACCTTTTGAGTTTGCATTCTATTTCTCTGCATCGTTCAAGAGTGATTAGGAATGAAGTTTAAGTTGTAGAAATAATCTTATGGGACCTCAATAGACACAAAAGATTCTTCCTAAGGGCTTTCTGAAGTGCTTTGTGGGACATATTATCCATTTTTCGATTGATTTTCTTAAGCGGTCGCAAAATTAGAATATTCAAATTCCCGGATACAATAATTTTGATATAATATTTTATAAGATAAAATAATATATTTTTATAGAGAACTATACAAAATAAATATTATTAATTTGGATTTAAAACACCAACCTAACACACCCCAAATGCTTATGTTAATATTTTTTTAATAAAAAGTTTTTCTAATTATAGATGCATATCATATTTAAGGCCTTTGCAAAATAACAAAGACTCTTACAATCCAATAATATATTCTAGTCCATGATCAATATATTCATTTTGCTATTTTGTTGATACAAAATCATTCTATTTTTATTTTTATTTTTCAGTGATCGTACTTTTAATACTCTCTCTGTTCTATTTTAATTGTCTTTTTTTTGTTCTACTTTAATTGACTAATTTATATTTTTGGTAAAATTTAATAAATTTAAACATACTCAACAAATATCATATATTATGTAGATTCACTCAAAATTTCTTTATTTTTATCTATCTTTTCAATAAACAAATATAAATATTTACATTTAAAACTCACCTTTTTAAAAAAAAATTAATTTATCTTAATTAAAATAAATATATATATTTTTTATTTGTTTGTTTTATTTAAAATTTTATTCTCAACAAAATAATATTCATATTGCATATATTTTTGTTAAGATATAATATTTAAAATATTTAAACATATATTTTAAATTTATTTTAATTATATATTAATTTTTATTTTAAAATCATAATAATACTAATCACAAAAAAAATAATAAAATAATATTTTAATTCAATATTATTAACTAATTAACCCACGTTATCTTAAACACAGTGCTACAATAAAAAAGATCAACTCTATGGTATGAGGGAGTATAACTTAAAAATAATGTTTTACAATTAACATACTATTATTAAAAAAATATTACTTCCTTTATCCCACATTGCATGTATGGATTATTATAGATACAGGAATTTAGAATAAGTATAATTAGTAGATAATTAAGAATATATTAGTAAAAATAATTATTATATTATAAAAAATTATAAATTAAGATTAAGATAACTAATTACTTTAATTAAAATTAAAAATTAAATAAAAAAATTTAAAATTAAATTAAAGTGTATAATCATATTTTTTAAAAAAAGAAAGTGATATAATGAATAGAAATGACAATGTGAACATAATAGGTGAGAGAAGAGTGTATTTTCATTGGTTAAGTAATTTTTCATTTCCTAAGAATAAATTCAAATTTATAGGATTTTATTGTACTATTAGTTACAAAAAGTATATGAACATTTCCGTTCACTCAGTGTTTTTTTTATGAATTGATTTTTGGTATGTGGTATAGAAAATTGTGTAAAAAATATAAAATATAATTATTTTAATTGAATATTTGACTTTTTGTAATGAATAATTGAATTTTAATTTTTTTTACTTTTATAAAGATTATTTTCTGTTTTTTATTATTTTTTTAGGAATCACAATTTAAATATTAATATATATATATATATAGATTGTGTATTATCTAACTTTAAAATAAAATTACAAATACATTATTTTTAATAAAATTGTATATTATTATAAAGATAGAAATTCATTATTCATATTCAGTAAATTGCAAATATAATTAATTCAATCCTATTCATAATTTAATAAATCTTACTCCATAGAATTCAATTCATCACATAATGATTCACATAGTAGAAAAGTAAAAAATATATACAGTATATGTTTATGTTTGAAATTTGATTTTAACTTCAACATGATGTTTACAAAAAAAAATATGTATTTTTATAGAAATTATATATTAGAAAAATTAAAACAAACTTAAAAAGAACACAGCCTTGTATCTTGATTTTTGTTGTTTGAATTTTAATAATTTTTAAAATAAAAATAATTACTAAATTTTATAATTATATCCAATTTGACATATTTTAGTTTTAATTCAAAATATTATATTTAAAATTTATTTTATATTTTTTCCATTTCAAAAGAATAAATTTATAATTTATAAGCACAAAATTTAAAAGGATATTGATATTATAATAAAAAAAGATTATACTTATATATGTGATTTAATTCATATGTAAAAAATAAAAATAAAAAAAAATGTAGCATTTGTTTAAGAATAATAATATAGAATAATTTACTCAATCCGTCAGGCTCTAGGGGTCTTTTAAATCTTTTCCGTCATTGTACTTAATATTAAAAATATTCTTATATTTGTATAATTTTTTTACACAAATGTCACTATAATATAATAGTAATATAAGACATTAATAAAAATATTTTTGTCATTTTTCTTTAATTTGTACTATGTTTTTATATAATAATTAATATTCAAATATCAACATCAAAGAAAATAAATGAGATCCTTAAAATCGAACGAACTTAGTATATGATTATTAATAGTAGCAAGACTATTGTTTTATGGACGGTAAAACATGCTTATTGATTTTGGGCGGAAGAAGTATTCAAAATTTAAAATTCAATGAAAATATTACTTCAATTCAAAGGATTTTCTATGCAGAGATATATACTTTCGTCCGGTTCTAAGGGTTTCATTTACTTTTTGCTTATTGATATTTGAAATATTAATTATTATATTAAAACGTAGTAGAAAAAATTGCAAAAATACTTTCGTTAGATTCTTATAATACTAATAAAAGGACATTTTTTTAAAAAAAAATTATACAAATATAATGATATTTTTTTGTGTTAAAGTACAATGACGCAAAATGTAAATGTGATCTAGAAGCGGACGAAATGAGTACTTTTTTTAAAAAAAAATGAATTAAGAAATAGATTGGACATAATAATGTTTTGTAAAATATAATTTAGAACAAAAATTGCAGAAAGAAAACCGACCTATTAATGAATAAAAATAGAACATACACTTCCGTAAAGGATAATCTAGTGGTGTGAAGCTAGAGTTATGACCATGAGGTTATGGATTTAAATCCCCACATTTTTCATACATGGTTCATAAGAGAAAATTTAGTAGTAAAAATTCAAAAAAAAAAAAAAAAGGAACAAACGCGTCCTACAAAAAAAAGTTGGGTAAGCAATGCGATCCACAGCTTTCCTTAAAAACAACAAAAGCAATAAATAATAGTATTAATAGTAAAAGTAGATTTTTTCACCTAATTATTTATTTATTTCAATTTTCCATCTTGAAAAATTGAGCAAAATTTCTGACATCCAAACACGGCTTTACAGAGTTGAAACGTCTCCACATCACCATATTATAGCTTTCATTTGTTCACAAACAGTGAGTACGCCAAGAGCGGTACAACCCTTTCTCTCTCTCTCTCTCTTCTGGCTGGCCCGCGTAAAGGCGACGCCTTTTTCTTCGATCCATTAATTTATTCTTACTATTCTTATCCCTCCTTTCCATCCCCATCGGGATTGGCTTTCGAGTTTTGCAAAAACAGAGAAGCCACGCATGAATGGATGAATGAATAATATCTGGGGAATCGGTATTTTATTACACTAGTTGAATAATATCTGCAGTGCCGGATTTTGGGTTCGAGTGTTTTATTTCATTAATTTCATTTCATGGTACAAGAACAAAGACCTCCTCCCTCCTCCTCCTACTCCATTGCTGCTTCAGTACCAGTCAGCTCATCTGGGCCCTACAAACTATTTTGCCGCATCCATTTCTCACCGCCTGCCAAAAGCCCTTTTCATCAATTTTAGAAATTGCATGCACCACTCCCTCGCTCGCTCGGTCGGTGCATCGCCCCCAATTTTTCCATCTGTGATTTCGACGGTTACACTTACACTCTCGTACTCAAGTCTCTCCTTGCTCGGGTGAGTTGCTGAATGATTTTCGATTAGCGTTGCCTGCGGATTTGATTGTGGCGGTTTCTGATGAGTTTCTGTTTTTCTTTTTTTTTGTTTTCTTATAGAGCGAGTATCGATCGCGGAGGCGAGAGGTTAATTTTGGAGCAATTCACTTCAATTTTGGGCAGGTATTGGGTTTTAATTGATGATGGTTGTTGTAAATTCTCTGGATTGTAGCTTGATGATGCTATTGAATCGTGATCGGATTGTGTGGTCGGATCGATTTTTCAGTTTGTGTGGTCTGATTGTCGCTGGGTTTTGTAAAATTGAGTTGCCTGATTGGCGTGGTGTTTGGAGCTTGAGTTGATTTCTGGATCTTCTTGTTGGTTTTGTGATTGGAATTTTTGGGTGGGTCTCTACTTGTTCTGTTCTTTGATGTGGCTTCTCTTAATTTGGTCATTTCGACATTGGATTGAACAACTTTGGGGCAATTCCCTGTGATTAATTGTTTCTTAAGATTTGCTTGAAGTTTTTTGATTGATTTTAGAAGCTTATTTGTGTGATGTTTTTGTTTTTGGATCCAATCAATCGAGGAGGAGTTAATTGGATAAACTAGTAAGTGTGGCTTCACCATTTTCTTAAGTGATTCAGGGGTCTTTGTGGTTAACATCTTGCATTTTTCACGATTAACTAGATTACTCTTTAATTGTCCAACTGTATGCAATATCTAGAAGTCTTTTTCATTAAATTCCTCAGATTTATGATAGATTGAATGGAAAACAGCATGGCATCGAAGGAAGTGGTCATAGATCCGAAGATCTTAGATGGGTTTCGATTTTCCGCTAAAATTAAGCTAACTGCATTAATTTTTTTGTCGTCTTGTCTAACTTGTGTATCACTTTCATTATGAGTTGATTAGTTCCACGAGTTGTATGGATTTTCCGATCTTCTTGCTTTATACTTTAAGATAATTATGAATCTCTTATTTAATGTAGCAATAGCAAGAAATCATTCATCAAATCTCTCAGATTTGGGATAGATTGAATGGAAGACCACACGGCATCGAAGGAAGTAGTCATAGATCCAATGATCTTGAATGCTTTTCGCTTTTTAGCTAAAATTAAGTTTGCTGCAATAATGATTGTGATAACTTTTATGCTTCTTGTCAAGATTGCGTATTCCTTCTATTATGAGTTGCTTACTACCACGTGTCCTATTGATTTTCCGATCTTCTGGCTGGATTTATACTTCAAGTCTTACTTGCAATCATCATTATGATTCTCTCATTTAATGTAGCAATATGTGTCCTGCAACCACAAACACGTGACAAAATGGTTTAGTGTGACGAAATGGAAGTGATTACTGTCCTGGAAAGAAAGCTGTAGATTATATTTTGTTTGCTGTCTCTTTACTTTGTTCAATCCTATCATGCTGTAGAAATGACGATGATATGATTTCAGATCTGATATAGTTTCAGTTATTTCATCTCAGGGTGCTATAGATCACAGTACGAAGCTTAATCCGGATTTCTGATTTGGCAACAAAAAGAGAAGCAACCTGCACCTCTTAAAAATGGGAGTGTCAAATTCTAGATTGGAAGAAGATCAAGGTTTGCAGCTTTGTCGAGCAAGAAAGAAGTTTATCAAACAAGCACTTAATGGCAGATGCTCTCTCGCCGCAGCTCACATTGCATATATAGAAGAGTTGAGGAATGTAGGAGCTGCTCTAAGGAATTTTACAGAAATCGATCTTCATGCCGAATCTGCTGTGCATCTTTCAAGAAGTCCAACGCCTGGGCCGCATTCCATGGTAGATAATCCAGGCTCCCAGTTATCTTTATCCCCTCTATCTCTATCACATGCTGCTGCAAATACACCACCGTCTTCTTCAACTCCTGTTACAAGTAAATATCAATCACACCGCATGAAATTCAGAGGTGCGTTTTCTAGGAAAGTAGAAGAAAAGCCTCCAGCTCCTGTTGCAGTATCAGTTTCTTCGACTACTCCTCCGAACATGACTCCTCTCTCCACTGAAGTACCTGAGGAATCATCTTTTGGAACGCCTGTTCCGCCAGAAACTCCTCCATGGGATTATTTTGGGCTTTTTCATCCGATAGACAATCAGTTCGCTGCACAAGAAGGTAGGGAATTTGACCACGGATCTGAATTTTCTGGCGATACAAGACATCCGACTGCAGGGGAGGGAGTTTCTCAAACAGATGTGGAAGGGATTTTGTCCTCTCATGGTATTGAGGAATCTCAGGGTTCTGAAGATGAATTTGATGAACCCTCTTCAGATACCCTTGTTCGGAAGTTTCGAAATGTCAACAGGACAAAAGATAATATATTGGATGGAAATTCACCGGTTATCTCTTCAGAGAGTAGAGCATCTGATCCCAATAATGCAAATGTGAATGAAGCGGATGCAAATCACGAGAGTGTTCGCTCACCTATTAAGCCAACTGAGGTTTTCGAAGCAGAAAGCAAGTCAGCTGATGAGAATAAAAATCCTTCTCCTGCTTTATCACCACTACGGGCAACATCGTCAAGATATTTGCACTATAATGATGTGAAGATAACACCGATTGAGCAAGATGAAGTTGAAGATAGTGCACCTAAGAACTTCTATTCAAGCATGAAAGAAATTGAACAGTTATTCGTTAAAGCTTCTGAATCAGGAAAGGAAGTGCCCCGGATGCTTGAAGCAAATAAATTCCACTTCCGTCCGGTTGTTCCTGGGAGTGAACGTAAGCTCTTTCTCTCTTGCTCCTTCTTCCCTCTTTTACGGCAACTTGAAGGAAAATTTTTGGCTAGTTGGAAGATTTGGCATTTGCTGCATTAGCTGTTTGTTCTGTTACAATGATTTGGCTATTACATAGTTTTTTAACCGTTAAGTTTAGTCAAAACAAAGTCTAATTGAGTTGCTAAATACTGTTGTGTCATGAGCATATATAAGTAGGTTATATGCATCAAACGCAATAATAAAAAAGATGAATTAAATTAATGATCTATAGTATCACCAAGCTATGTAGACATTTTTTTTTTAAAAAAAAAATCCTAATATATCTCAACATTGTTGTCTTCCTTGTATAAATGAGTGAAGGTTAATGAAGTATTTTTCTTCTTCGCAGGAGGATCGGTTGCTTCAGCTATATTGAAATCTTGTTTTTCTTGCGGAGAGGATCCAAGTGAGGTTCCAAAAGGTAGATTTGTCTGCTTTGAACATCATTTAGTTGTGCATAAAAACTTAATCCTAAAGCATCTTAATACCAGCATGGACATTAATGACACCTGAAATATCAATAAAAGTATTACAATCATTATACGTTAAAGTTGGAACTGTGAGAATTCTTTTTTTAACCTAAATTAGTTAATAGAATATAGACTATGAAATTTGATGCTTGTTATGCAATTCTTATTTAATCTTCGCAGCCTAAAGCATTTCCTTTTTTTTTTGACAAAAAAAAAGTGGAAGAAAGCAAAATTCTCACCGTTTCTTGGCCCTTTTAAATGAACTTATTTTGATAATGTCAATATTCTAGAATCAGGGAGGTTTGGTAACTTGGCAGCATAAATGTTAACCAGTTTTTCTGAACTTTCGCTAGATCAGGTTCCTGTTTTTGGAATTTTAGAATTGTGAACATGTTTCTATAGATCAACTATAAAATATGATGTATAGCAGCTAAAAGATCGATCAATCTTGAAGATCTTATAATTTGCAAAATGTCAAAGCACTTTGTTGTTTGGTATGTTTTTGTCTTTCCCAAAGTGACGCATTCATTTGATTCGTCTGTTAAAATTAATGAATGGATTTGCATTTAAGTCCTTAGCTTAGATTTTTCGCAGTTTTGAAATATCTGTTTGTGTAGATGTTCTTGTCTGATATCTGTTACTTACCTTAACTCCATTTCTGTTTTCATTGCAAATACACGTGTGAATGAGTAATTCTGGGATTACGGGTTAAGGTTTGAGCAGCCCTCTACGAGTCCTTGGATCGATTGATTTGATTTCTTCGATTATTAATAAGTAGGCTTGTGTTGTTGCATGACATAGCAGATAAATGATTAATGATTGTAATCTGATTTTCCAGTAGATTGTCCGAACACAGGTGTTCGTTTGAAAGCCAAAGATTTACCCAAACTTTCCTCTATTAATGATTCTCATTTGCACAATATATTAACTTGTTGATTTTTAGAAATTTTAGCATCTTGCGCATTCGTCCCATGGTTTAATCGCTGCAATCTCAATTGCGAAACCACTGATTCGGTTTTCTTTTCCTTTTTGCTGTATAGAACCACCTCAAAATTCTGTCAAGTACTTGACTTGGCACCGGACCACATCATCGCGCTCAGCTTCATCTCAGAACCTTATGGGTCTCAACGCAAGTGATGGTCCCGAAGAGAGCAGCACCAATCTCTTCGACAACTTCTGTATGGTCTCGGGAAGTCACGCCTCCACCCTCGACCGGCTTTATGCATGGGAGAAGAAGCTTTACGATGAAGTCAAGGTATGCTTGGTTTCCATTTTCTGTACAACACTATTTCAGCATTGATTCATCCTATTGCGCATGCAAACATGTGTAGCTGTTTCCTTTTATTTCAATATTGATTTTAGATCCGCAACTAAAGTTTTCGAGTTCACAGCTGAAGCGTTTCGTTCGATTTTAATATGGTCGAATGTAGTGTAGCTTCGGTGCACTCGTTTCATTGTAACCGTTAACTCTTTGTGGTGGATCTCAGGCTGCCCAGGTATTGCGAACCAATTTCGACACCAAATGCCGACTTCTTCGACAGCAAGAATCGCGCGGAGAGCAGACTGACAAGACGCGCGCCGTTGTCAAGGATCTTCACACAAGGATCAAAGTCGCCATCCACCGGATCGACTCCATCTCGAAGAAGATCGAAGACATCAGAGACAAGGAGCTTCAACCACAGCTCGAGGAATTAATTGACGGGTATGAATCAAAATCTAAATAAAATTTCATCTACCAAATATTTACGCGCTTTAATCGACTCGACAGATTGAAGAAGATGTGGGAATCAATGGTTGAGTGCCACAACCTTCAATTCCACATAATTTCCGTCTCCCATGCCCCTAGTGGCACAAGAATCACGATCCACACGGACTCCCGGAGGCAGGCCACCGTGTACCTTGAGCACGTCCTCAGCTGCCTAGCATCCGCGTTCACAAAATCGATCAATGCCCAGATGCTGTACGTCGAAGCCATCAACAAGTGGCTCTACAAATGCGTGACCGTCCCTCAGAACAATTTGAAGCGGAACAAGATGAGGCTGCCGCCGATCCAAGACTTAGGCCCGCCCATATACATGCTGTGCGCGTCCTGGCTGAACCTGATCGAGAAACTGCCGACGAAACAGGTCGTCGACTCCATGAAGGACCTCTCGGCCGAAGTCGCACACTTCCTGCCCCGTCAGGAGAAGAAAAGCAATGACGGCGTCGTTATGACGAGGGACGAGGCCTCGGAGGACTGGATCCCTGCCCTGGACCGTTTCCGGACGAACCTGGCTGCTTTTCTGGGACAGATGAATAACTTCGCGGAGTCGTCGGTTAGGATGTTCGACGACCTTCAGAACGCGATTCTGGACGCGAAAAATAGCCATGAACAGTTCAAATTGCAGCAGCAGCAGCAACGGGGACGAGCTGTGTAAGTTTATCAGCTCAAAACAAATTTTGAAAGAAAATTTGATTATTTACAGATATATGAATTTGTGGGTGAAGAAAATTAAGGAAGTGACAGATGAGAATAAATGGTGATGGTACAGAATGGAAATTTTTAGAGACAGTGTCTTGTATATTCATTTATTTTTATTATTATTATTATTATTATTGATGTAGTGACTTTTGGAGGAATTATTGACTGTAAAATAGTTATAGATAAAGTTGCACAAGTAATGAACTATGTATGGACAAGTTTGTGTAATTGGATATCTTCTCTCCCTTGGTGTATTTTGTTTGCTACTCTCTCAATCTGCCTTATTGGTTCTATTCTTCTAGTACTGCCTTTGTCCACATGTCCACGTAACTTGTTCTTTCTATTTTTGGAAACATAATTATGTATTTTAATCGTATTTTAAATTTTAAATTTTATAATTTTTTTAATTTTAATTAAATTATTTACTTATTTTAATCTATAATTATTTTTACTAAATAATAATTATTTTTACTAATACACTTCTTAATTACTTATTAATTATATTTTATCTAAATTCCCGTGTCTACAATAATACACCCATATTACATGGGACGGAGGGAGTACTATTTTTTTAGGATCAAAATTATGATTCTAAAAAAATTACTCTTAAAGAACACAAATATCTTTTACAAAAGTTAAAAAGTAGATTTACAAAAGTTAAAAAGTAAAGAAAAAATTCAAATACTCATTACAAAAGTAAAAAAAAAAATATCAAATATTTAATTTAAAATAATATATTTTATATTATGACACAATTCTCGATAGCACACAAAAAATCAATCCATTTAAAAACACTTTGGGACTATTTGGTTCGTGGATTTGGTAGGATTCAATGAGATTTGGATTTTAAAATCTTAATGAATCCATATTTGATTATAAAATTGATGATGAAATTTTAAGTGCATGGAATTTTAAAATCCTGCAAATGGAAAATTTTTCAATAACAGTATACCCCTATTACTTTAAAATCTCATGTCATTGCATTTTACATTTTCCTATTATATCATTCCATAAAAATAAAATCATATATTTTTTTTCTTTCTAATATTAAATGTATATATATATATTTACGTTTAAATTATATTTTATTGGTTTTATAAAATATAATATTATATTTAAACATACTATTACAAATCATATATTTATTTATAATTATTAATGTTATTTATATTTAATTATTTTACTAATGATAATTTAAATAAATTAATAATTTAAATTTATTTTACTAGTGTATTAATTTTGTATTTTTAATTTAAAGTGTTTTTTTTTATATTAAATATGAAAAAGAATGTCGATAGTATAAAAAATAATTAAATTGTAGTATTTTTTAGTGTATAGATTATATATTACAGTAATATTTTGTATGAATATATATATTATATTTTATATTATTAATCGAAAATCGTATTAAATTTTTTTTATTAGAATATACTAAATATAGTAAAAAATAAAGTTTACGGAAAAAAATGATTGTAAAGTTTAATTTATTACAATAAATAAAACTCGTGAATGATAATTACGTCATTTAAAATATCAAAAATCAAAATCCTTGAACCAAACAGCTCTAATCAAACACATGATAGGATTTCAAATCCTAAATACAATAAATCATATCACATATAAATCCTACTTCTCAATCCTATTAAAAAAGTTTTTGAACCAAACAGCCTCTTAGTGAACGGAGTCATAATACCATACAAATTTAAAGAGAGTATGACAATTAAATAATTAAAATTATATTATAAAATTAAATATAGTATAATACAAATAATTATATATTAAGATTAAAATAATTAATTAATTTAATTAAGATTTTAAAAAATATAAATTATAAAACTTAAAAATAAATTATATGAGATGTAGAACGAATAGAATTGATATTATGACATAATATGGGGACGGTCCGGACGAAGGGAGTGTTATTCTTTAGTCATAAGTTTTCAACTTTTATGTTTTTAGATAAATATATTTTTTTATGTTAGATACAAAGATTTGTGTCGAAAATATAAAAAATAATATTTTATTTTGAATTATTCATTTTTTTTAGTTAATAAATTAATATATATTATGTTAATATATGTGTATATATATTATATTTTTCTATAATATTTATTGAAAGTCCTACTACTCAAAAATACAAAGTGAGCAAAAATGTGCTTTATTTATTATTTTTTTTTTTTGCAAATTAGGATAGTATTTATTTTATTGAATAACTCCATTTATATAAGTAATTGATTGTGATTTTAAATTAAAATTTATAATATTTATTTTATACGATTTTCAATAACAATACATTATTATTTTTTTATAAAATATCATATCAATATACTGTTTAAACAAAATTTAAATCTAATATTTTGTTTCAAATAAATTTTGAACTTCAATAAAACAAACTGAGTATATGTTTTGAAGAATGTTTGAATTTTTAAATTTTTTTAAAAATAGTAAAAAAAATACTCCATTCGTCCCACCTACGATGTCTATATTGTCATTTTTGTCTGTCTCATATCTCATGTCACTTTTTTTTTGAAAAATAATTACACACCTAATCTCATTTTAAATTTTTTCATTTTAATTAAACTAATTAGATATTTTAGTTTTAATATATAATTATTTATATTATAGAATAATTATTTTCACTAATACATTCTTAATTATTTATTAATTATGTTTATCCTAAATTCTCATACCTACAGTAATCCCAGACATGCAACGTGGGACGGAGAGAGTAATGATTAATTATACTAATATTTTATAAAATAAGGCTAAATTACACAAAACCTACACGTGATTTCATGAAATTGCGGCCAAATCCTCTATATTTTTAAAACTGCGTCAAACTCCCTCGTGATTTTCATAAACTTTACGTCTAACCCCCCTTGGCGGTCCTTATTTAACAGTATTTGACCTAAATGCATATAGAATGCGAATAAATTTTAGAATCTCAATTTCTAAGCCCCTAAAATTACAAATATATTTATTTTTCTTATATTTAGCCTCAAAAAATAGTAAATATACTAAAAAATAATTATTTTTCCCAAATTTTAAGAATTTATTTTTACTTTTTTTTAGGCTAAATATAAGGAAAATAAATATATTTGTAATTTTAGGGGTTTAAAAATTGAGATTCTAAAATTTGTTCGTAGTTTGAGCGCATTTAGGTCAAATATCATTAAATAAGGATCGCCGATGGGTTAGATGCAAAGTTTATGAAATCACGAAGAAGTTTGACGCAGTTTTAAAAGTACGAAGAATTTTACGCAATTTCGTAAAATCACATGTGAATTTTGTGCAATTTAATCGTAAAATAAAAAGGTAATTTGATTTGATTTGGTTCCAAAAAAGACTAAGGGTGTGTTTTGAAAGGGTCACCACTATGTCCAAATCTCTTTTTTATTTGTTTTGTTTGAAAAGATCCCACATTTGTTCACAATAAACTATGGTTTCATTAATAATATATATATATATGTACTTAAAATAATCAAATTAAGACCCATTCATAATCATATATTTATTTATTTTGTGATGTGCAAAAGTGATGCACACGAAATCATTTAGTTAATTGTTTTAGGATAAAGAAAGGTTGCAAGTTGGCCGGGTCAAACTATCTAAGGTCATCTCCAATCACATTTTATTTCTCCCATCCCAACTCTATATTTGCCGCCACCCTGCTCCAACCCAATGCCATTTATGTTGTATTTGTTTTTTTTTTTTTTTTTTTTTAATTTTTAAAATTATAAATTTGATTTTTAAATTTAATTTTTATTTTTTTAAATTTAAAAAAAAAATATTTAAAATTATAAAAATAAAAAGTTGTTTAAAATAATAGGAAAAATTGAATATTTGAAGAATAATAGGAAAAATAGATATGATTGGAGTAAAATTACTGTATCAACTGCATATTTGAAGATAAAACTGGATAAATAGAGTTGATGAGTTGGAGATGGCCTAAACATATAGTAAGGGTGTGTTTGTTTGGGGGTTTAGATAGGTGCTGATGTGATGTTTTGAATGTAAAATTAATTTTTAGTATAATATAAAAATAAAAAATAAGTGTTTAATTTGATGTCTTTGAAATAAAAAAAAAAAAAAAAGAATGAGTAGTAAATTTAAAATCCAATCCCCCAAACGAACACACCCTACCTAGATAAACCAAGTTTACTTGGGATGTATTTACGTTTTTCTCATATTCAAATTATATATATTTTGTTAAATTTTGTATATGAATTTATTTTGTATTAAAAAAATTTACTTGGTAGATTGATCTATTTTTATGTTAGGTATGAAACTGTATTGATAATACAAAAAAAAAATAATATTTTAAATTAAATTATTAATTTTTTGTAATTGAATAAAATATATATTATATATATTGTGTTAATATGCCTATATATTACCTTTTTTAAAAATAATATTTATTAGAAATAGTGTCATTTAAAAATAGTAAATGAACAAATTCTTCTTAAATAAATATTTCATTGTTAAAAAATAAAATTATACAAAATTCACCTATAATTTTATAAAATTGAACCAATTTGTATGTATTTCCAAAACTCAAATTTCTTCAGAGTTTTATAAACTACGTTTCTAATAAATAGTAAAATTTTAGAAAAAATAAAAATAAAAATTGTTCCAATAAATTGTATATAAATATATTTTTATTATATTGCATCATAGATAATGAAAAGATATGCCCTGTAAGTAAAATCCACACGATGAGCAAATAAAATATTTTGTAATTATAAACACAGATTTCTACTACCAAAATCTCACAGTAAAATCACAGTCATGTGACAATATCTTCGCCCGTTCCGTCAACCCGTCCATAACGACGTCGCATTTAACCTTAACGGTGATTTCCCACGTCTTAACGGCGCCAACCTTAATTTTAACGGGCGCCTTTGTTCTCACCACTAACGGAACCCTCCCTCGATTCTGCGCGTTCCTTAACGCCGTCCGAATGTTCCCCCCCAAAACGACGTCGGATCCTTTCAACGCCGTTTGCAGCACCGTCACGTTCTTCCGCGGCTGGAAGAAGACTGGTAAAACGCCGTCCCCCAGCCTAACGCCGTCATAGAAAACGTTGACGGAGCTGCCTTTCAAGTAGTAGATCCCGACTTTGCCGTTAGGGTTCTCCGCCCGGACGGTGACGTCAATTTCCGGTGAGAGCGGCGCCGCCGACGTCAGATTCATACTTTTGAAGGCGAGGCTCGTCACTGCATACTTCGGCGATTTGAATCGGAACACGAGGTAGAGCACTCCGGCGGAGACGGCGGCGGAGATGACGAGGAGTAGGAGTAGGCAGAGGACGCAGCAACAGCACCGGCGGCAGCAACTCTGCCGCTTTCCTCGCGTTAGTGCTTGGTATTTCCTCGCGTTTTCCGGCGGAGGATAGCGTAGTATCTGCTCTCGCGGTAGCTGGACAACGTAAGTCGCCGGCGGAGGAACTGGTTTCGACGGCGGCAGATCCGGCGCCTTTAATGGCTGCTGAAAGTCCTTCGGTGATTTTCCGATGGATGAGGACTCCTGCGTAGGCAAATCGGAGGTATCGGCTGGATGAATCCGCGGATCCGCCATTGAATCGTGAAATCAAATTACAAAATAGAGCAACCTGCAATGAAATTGAATTGAAATGAAATTGGAATTGGAATGGGGCGGCGAGATGAACGCAGAAAATGCGGAAGATGCGTATCTGTTGTATAGGTGCGTATTTATATCAGGTACATTTTGCACTATCCGCGTGACTGAGCGCGTGGCATGGCGCGTGACGGTGAATAAAAGGAAACTGCGGCCAACGCGTATTGTGAAGCCGTTGGACGTAAATGCGATCCAGTTGTTTTCTTAGGTTTTTTTTTATATAGTTTTCCTTATTAGTATAATTTATGAAATTTTATATTTTACAAAATAATACAAATATTAAATATGTTTTATTAATTTATATTTTAGATATATAAAAACAAATATAAATTGATTGTATTAAATTAATTAACATTTTAAAATAATTTAATTTTTATTGTGACGATTTTAAGAAAAAACAAAGAAGAAAATTTTTTTTATTATGAAATTAATCGCTAAATACTGTGTACAGATTTATATGTATATAAGTGTATGTATATATGCAACAGATCAAACAAACTAAATGAGCTAAACTAAACTAATTAAATGACCCAATATTAGGTAACAAACAAATGACCCAACTAGTTTATAACCCCCATCGCGCCAAGTGTATCATTGCAAAGCTTGGAGCGAAGCCGGTCGAAAGTCACACGAGGAAGGGAATTCGTGAGAATATCAGCTAACTGATTACCACTGCTCGTGAAGACGGGAATAAGAAGTTTGTTGTCATAATAATGGCGGATGAAGTGGCAGGCGATGTCAATATGTTTGGTCCGTTTGTGAAACACAGAGTTCTTTGTGATGTGAATAGCAGCCTGGTTGTCGTAGTGAAGTGGTATCGGGGTAAGGAACTCAAGGTGCAATGCATGAAAGATGTAAGATAACCACACAAGCTCACTCGTACACGAGCTCATACTACGGTACTCCGATTCTGCGGTAGAGAGATTGGCAGTAGGTTGTTTCTTGGCTTTCCAAGAAACCAAATTGTTCCCAACAAAAATACAATAGCCAGAGATAGACTTTCGGCTGTCCAAGCAAGCACCCCAATCGGCATCTGCAAAGGCAGTGACATTCAATGCAGGATCGGCACAGTAGTGTAATCCGAAATTAACTGAGCCCTTTAGGTATCGAAAAACATGCAAGGCAACTTTCCAATGACAACAAGTGGGGTGTGGCATGAATTGGCTTAACTGTTGTGTCGCGAAAGTAAGATTAGGGCGAGAGAAATTGAGATATAACAAACGACCAATGAGACGTCTGTAGGAGGCAGGATCATCCAAAGGTTCACCATCAGAATCTGACAACTTGATCCCAGGTGGTAAAGGAGTGGCAGCAGCCGAAGCAGAGTGCATATCCATGTCCTCAAGAATGTCAAGGATATACCGTTGCTGAGATAGTATCAAACCAGAAGAAGACTGTTTAAACTCAATGCCTAAGAAAAAATTAGTGTCGCCAAGATCTTTAATAGTGAAAATATCATGGAGATAGATCTTGACTTCATTAATCAATCCCATAGAGGAATCAATAAGAAGAATGTCATCCATATAAACTGTCAAGGCTAGAATATCCGGACCTCGGTGAAGAATGAAAAGACAGTGATCATGAGGAGACTGATTAAAGCCGAAGGCAAGAACTTTCGTTGCGAGAGTCTGGAACCAAACCCTTGGAGCCTGTTTCAACCCATACAAGGATTTTCTCAATTTGCACACATGATTGGGAGGGACTGAGTACCCTGGATGAGGCTGGAGATAGACATCCTCCTCAAGAGTTCTATGCAGAAAAACGTTATTAACATCAATCTGATGTATAAACCAACCTTTAGCAATGCCGATAGCTAAGAGCAGTCAAACTGTAGTGTATTTTGTTACTGGTGCAAAGCTTTCACTGAAGTCTTTCCCTTGTTCCTGAAGGTAGCCTTTGGCTACTAACCGAGCGTTATATCGAGAAATTGCTCCTGATTTGTCTCTCTTAATTCTATATACCCATTTACATTCTATAGCTTTTTTTTTCCCTTTGGGCCTCGCAACTATGTCCCATGCATGGTTTGACTCAAGAGCATCAAGTTCCTCTTGCATAGCCTGTATCCAATGAGTGTTATCCATAGCTTTAAGATAAGAGATCGGCTCATCATTGTTGTTAGTACACATGCAGACATAGTCTTGAAGCCAACCAGGTTGCTTAACCTCCCTATGGGGCTATGTAGAAGGTGGCACAGATGGTAGTGCAACTGTTGTATCTGTATCAGGAGAAGAGGAAATACCAGATGTGGAAGACTGAGGTTCGACAACTAAGGATGGAGAAGCTTGAGAAGTCAGTTGAATATGGGATGGAGTGTCTGAAGGAATACCAGATGTAGAAGACTGAGGTTCAGCAACCAGGGATGGAGTGTCTGTAGAGGTGAACTTATCAACCGGAAAAGATTCTGTGTCCTCAGTCCCAACTACAGGAGAAGGGCAAAAGTTGGAGGTAGAGGCAGGACAATCTAATCCAGGAAACACTGATTCAAAGAATACCACATTTATAGAGATCAAGAACTATCTGGTGAAGGGAATGAAAATTTTGTAACCTTTTATTCCTTTCTCATAATCCATGAAGATAGCTTTAACTCCACTATTACTGAATTTATTTCTTGTAGGATCTGTGTTATAAACAAAACACAGACAACCAAACACTCTCAGTCCATCAAGATCTGGTTTCTTGTTATATAAGATCTCATAGGATGATCTCCAATTCAACACAGGACTGGGGAGAAGATTGATCAAGTGAGTAGCTGTTAGAACAGCCTCTCCCCAGAACTCAGTAGGTAGATTGGCTTGCACAAGCAAGGTTCTAGCAATGGAGATGAGGTGCTGATGTTTTCTCTCCACTCGACCATTCTGCTATGTAGTATATGGGCAAGACTTGTAATGAGCAATTCCATTCTCTTGTAATAGATTCTTGAAAGCCAGAGAAGTAAATTCCGCTCCAAAGTCTGTTCTCACATTCTTTACTTTGGAGTTAAACTGAGTATGAATCAATTTGATGAACACAACAAATACATTCAAGACCCGAGACTTTAGTGTTAGCAAGAAAATCCATGTGCTTCTACTGTAGTCATCTACAATAGTCAGAAAATATTTGGCTCCGTAAGTAGATGGTAAGTGATAAGGGCCCCAAATATTAAGATGTAGTAAGGCAAAGGAAGAATCAGCTTTATTAACACTCAAAACAAAAGGTAAATGTCTCATTTTGGCTAAATTGCAAGCATCACAAGGTAGAGATGTAGTATGTGCAACATCCTTATTCATAAGAGTAGAGTTAAATAGTAATTTCTGCATTAGCAAACTGGATGGATGTCCTAATCTTTGATGCCAAGAAGTATCCAGCTTGACAACACACACTTGATTGGTGTGACCTTCCAGATAGAACAACTGTCCTTCAAGCACTCATTTTCCAAGCACATGATGATCATGGTCCTGAATTAAACACTGGTTATTCTTGAAGACCACAGATAATTCTGGTGACAAGCACAATCTGTATATGGATACCAAGCAATATTTAAAGGTAGGGAGAAAATAGACATCAAGAAGAGTAATATTCTCATTCAATTTCGCTGTGCCTATCCACTCTGCTAACTGCATTGTTCCATTGGGCATGAAGACTCTAATAAGACTATCAAGTGGTATCAAACAATAAAAAAAACCGTCTGTCATTAGCTTTATGGCATGTGGCTCCACTGTCAAGAACCCAACCTCTAAGTTTATTCACCTCATTAGATGCATTGAGACAAACAGTACTTGTATGTTGAGTGCTAAACATATTGATTTGTTCAACTGAAGTTTTGCAGGATTCAAAAGCTTTCCTAATCTCTCTTTGTATCAGATCGCTTAAGGCTTCATTGGATAATGAAGATGAGGTACTGCTGAATGCAGAATTAAATCCAGCATTATAGGAAGCAGCTAATGTCGTATCCTTACCTGCTTGCAATGTAACCTCACCCTTCTCCCTTCTTTTCTTATCCGATCTTTCTTTATACCACTCAGGAGAGCCGTGAAGTTTGAAGCACTCAGCTTTGACATGTCCATTTCTCTTGCAGTGATCACACACCAAATTCCTTTTTAATGACTTATCCGGCTTTCTTTCACTGGTTCTTGAGTTAGCAAGTAACATAGTGGGTGAAGGATCCTTTAATATATCATGTACTTCTTGCTGTTTCTCTACAGTTGAGAGTATACCATATATCTTGTTTACATCCGGCAAATGATCCATTATCAATATTTGATTCCTTACAGCATCAAAATTGTCATTTAACCCCATCAAATAATCAATTGCATCTAGGTTGTGGAGATACAGATCAACTTCATTTCTATCAATAGGCACATGTGCCAAACAAGACAACTCATCTTTCAAACTCTGCATTTTATTGAAGTATGCAGCCATTGAGAGATTACCTTGATAGAGCCTACTAATTTCTCTCCTCTTTTGGTAAATGAGAGGGCCGTTGTGCTGACCATAGCGAAGTTTGAGTTTCTTCCATAACTCATGACTTGTCTTGATGAGACTGAAAGCAACTGTAATTTGTGGAGAAATCGAATTCAACAGCCAGCCAAGTACCATATCCTCATTTCTTTCCCATTCTAGGGCAGCTATTGAGTTTTCAGGTCGCTTAGTTTCCCCAGTCATAAATCCATTTCTTCCTTTTGTTGAGAGAGCTCTTAAGACCACTGTGCTCCATATCAAGTAATTTGTCTCCGTGAGTTGAAGACGAACAAGACTCATGGTAGGTTGATCATGGGAAGAGATTTCCAAGGATGAATTAGCTGTGTTTTCAGAAGAGATTGACAGATCTGTAGACATCGTGCAATTTCTCAAACAAACAGTGATTTTTGATCAATCAGCGTTTTCCGCGAACTTGTACGAGGTGTAGGAAATCGATCTCAGTTAAATTCAAAATCACAAATCAAATTAATCAAATGAAATAGAAGATCGGTAATCAATTAGTAATCGATCGAACTCATGAGCTCTGATACCATGACGATTTTAGGGAAAAACAAGGAAGATAAATTTTTCTATTATGAAATTGATCGCTAAACACTCTGTACAGA